CTATCGAGAAGTAAAAAGAATAGGTAAGGCAAACATGGCAGAAGGGAGTAGATAAACCTGACATGTACAGATAAAGAGTAGAAAACCGGCGCTTAAAAAGGGGAGGACAGGTGGGGAAAAAAATCGGAGCAAAACAAAGGTAAGAGGAAAAAAGTAAAGTAAGTAAGATGAAGGATGGGGGGAAGCATAAGGAAGCTAAGCGTAGGCAATGAAGAGAAATGGCTTTATTTTAATGAAAAGAAGTAAAGAGAAAAAAGGAAAAGTAGATAAAGGAAATGATAAAATGGAAAAAGAAAGACTAAGAATATGAGAAAAGGAAGAAAATAAATTTAAATATTAATGAGTCTTAGAAATAATAGTCGATAAAAATATAAAAGTAAAAGAAATAAGTGGATAGAATAAATTGATAATACTAATTAAATAAATAAAATTCAGAGTGCGGGCATAAGCAAATGCAGTAGTGGATGAAAGACAGCTTAGTATTGGAATAATATTTGACATAATGATGTAAAAGTAAATGAATACAGATCAGACACCTTGTAACGTTAATTTACGTTATTCTTTGCCAAAAGCCCAACTATGAAAGCTGCATAAGAAGTAAAAGTTGTGAATTTTTGAGTAAATAAGAAGATCTTTTAAGGTTGGCAAGACCGTCTTTGTTGCTTGAGCCGCACTCAATTCACTCGGGATAGCAAAATTTGAGGCATGAAGCCTGCATGAGTCATTTGGTCATCAAAATCTCTTATTCAGATTTTCACTTCACGCATAGACATGAGTATGAAGCTCTTTAACAAAACAGATAAATTGACTAGATGTAACAGTCGACTTGCTGTGGCGTGATTTTAATCAGAACGGCAATTATAGTACCCTCTTCTCAAAACCCTACAGAGGGCCTGGATGCGTGTGAAGAGCGTAGACCAAGTCTCAGAAGCATCCAGCCAGGATGAGTCGAATAAGCGAGCAAAGAAGGACACTTCGTGACCACTTTGTTAACTCAAGCCTTTTCGATATGGCAGTGATTGGACACTGGTAAGAGACGAGTATCAAAGCCCTCCAGGGAGCTATATCATGTGGGGGGAAACAGTAGAAGTTATGAAGTTGGCCAGCATTATGGATAAAGACCGAATCGTAAGCTCCCGTCGTCTACGTTGAAGATCAAATCGAGATACTCCTGACTTGCTAATGTATGCCAATTGCTTAAGAATTTTTTCTCTTTGTTTAATTTTCACTAAAGACTGAACTGGAGGTAGGTTTAAAATCTGAAGGTGAGGGTGATGAGACAAAAGTAAGAGGCATACTCCACCACGCAAGAAAGGATGCGTATGGAAAACGAGCGATCAGATGTTCATTTCATTGTACCCTAACTTTATTTAAAAAAAGATGGATGCATAGGATTCATACTTTAGCCTCACCGACAACATGAGGAAGATAAAAGTGCTGAGAATGATAAAAATCGCTGACGGTGCCGGCAAAATGTCTGGGAATGTACTAAGTCCATGTTTAGATGCTGGAAATTAGAATAACTACTATAGCAGAAAACTTCGGACAATGCGCGTCCATCTAAGTCGCCCTGAAAACACGACCAAGTTGAGATAACGAGATCAGACCATATCGAAAGGAGACTGCGACCAAAATAGAGGCCACAACATCTTGATCCTCATAGCTTCGTTTAAAAAGGAGTATAAGTTTGCAGAGTTGAATGTTTATCTGTGTGCTGAGGATCTATTTGCATTGCTATTCCTCTCTTTTCGGCTTCTAATGAGACTACTTTATGATCGCATCTATCCACCATTTACTAAGGTAGTCTTCAAGTTCCAGTCTCTCTTCAAAGAATTAAAAAATATTGTACCATAATGAAAGCTGACATTTGCTAGTAAACTTAACTTTGTAATGAGTTT